AGTAATTAAAAAGGTAAAATCAGGTGATGAAAAAAGAAAAAAATAGTAGTTTCTTAATTAAAAGGTGAAAGAAGAATTTAAAAAAAATGTGTAGTAGTGAAGGTGCTTCAGTTCCTCTACTCTTCTTTGTAAACCAGTCCTGATTTTAAGGCAGGCCGTATTTGTTTCCCAGACTGCCTTTATTTATATTTACAGAAGAGTCAGTTTGTGGATCAGCCCCTGGGTGGCAGTGTTTCTGGATTGACCTCCAAGGCTAGTCCTCTCTATCCAGCAGTTAGGGTTTATTTTCCCTGTCGCACTTAAAACTGGTTTGGGAGAGTCAACTGCCCTAGAGCCTGTTCTTTAATCGTTACTTCCCACTCTGTTTCCCAGGTTCCACGAAAACAACTTTCCCCTGCAGTCTCTGCGAGTGACCCCAACTGGACAATCCCATGCACTGGGTTTAAAAATCAAATGCAAATATTTAAGGGGAAGTGAAAAAACAAGAGCCTGAGTAGTTGTGCGAATTTGCAACCCTCCACCTTCCAGCTCTGTGCGCAGTCTCTTCCACGTTGCCTCTCTCCCCTGGCACTAAGCACTCGGCACACTGGCAAAATCCGAGGCTGCTTTTTTGCATCCAGTCCAGCTATGGGCTTATTTTTAGCATTCCCTTCTGCCAGCAGCCCTGTGGGAGCCCTTCCACACTTGGGGATCACGCTGGCCCCAACAGCCGCGTACTTTGTGGGGCGCAGATTTCCCCCGCACGTGTTCCTCTCTCCAACCTGAATTGCAAACCACACCTGTAGGCAAAATCTTACCTTTCCGTGAGGAGAAGCGGGGCTCTTCTGAGTCCACATAGTCGCGATGCTTGAGATCTGTTGTTTCCGGGTTAGTAGCCCATCTCTGGATGTCGTGGATGCTGTGTCTTTGGATGTATAAGCTTCCAATAACAGCCACTCAAGATGGCGTGGTCTCCGTGGCTGAGCCAGCACTCCAGGAGAGATTTCAGCTGCAGTCTCCAACCGTCCCCTTTCTCCGGGAGTCCTCTGTCTTTCCTGGCTGCAAACTGTCTCCCAGCTGAATATCTTCTACTTATTCGGGCTGTATGATACCTGTTTCAGCTGCTCACCCTTATCTACTCCGGGACAAGGCACGGGACACATTGTCTATACCTCTGCCATTTTCCTGTCGGGGCTTAATGCATTTGACTATTATGCTTTGTTTACCTTTCCTCTTAGTGCTAGAATAAAAAATTAAATATCATAAAAACTTTTCTTTATGGCCTATCCAGATGGCCTCAGTGGATAGAGTGTCATCCTGTGGACAGAAGAGTCCTGGGCTGGAATCTGATGAAGGGCACATGAGCAGGTTGCAGGCTCCATCTCCAGTAGGGGCCATGCAGGAGGCAGCCATTCAGTGAATATCTTAATGTTTCTATCTGTCTTTCCCTCTCCCTTCCTCTCTGAAATCAATAAAAATGTATTTGTAAACAAAAACAAAAACATTTCTGTAACTTGTCATTTAATAGATTGACTTATTATGAGATTTATGTTTCAATCTTTTATCCACTTTGGTTTAATATTTGTATATGGTGTTTAATAACAGTCCAACTTTACTCCTTCTTTTACACGTAGACATCTAAGTATCTCAACACTATTCGTATATGTGAGAATCTGCTTTACTTCTTTGGTGGTATAAGCACTCTTGTAGGAGATTATTTTACCTCATGGGTGAAAAGTTGTAAGTAGGCTCTTTATTGTACAGTACTTCTTTTTTGTAGTTGTTGTTAATCCTCACTTGAGGACATTTTTTCCATTGCTTTTAAGAGACAGTGGAAGGGTGGGAGCAAGGAGGGGGGATAGAGAGGGAAACATTCATGTGAGAGAAACACATCAACTGGCCCCCTCTGCTCAAGCCTCAACTCAGGTGGGGTGGGAATTTGCAACTGAGGTATATACCCTTTAAGGGGAATTGAACCTGCCACCCTTAAGTTCACAGGATGATGCTCTAACCCTGAGCCACACTGGCCAGGGCCTACCGTGCTCCTCTATTTACCTGTGTCTTAATGTGTAGATGATACTTTTGCATGACACCAGTTTGGAAATACTTGGTTTTTTTAATCAGGAAGCATGATGCCTTTAAGGTTATACTGTGTCTCTCATGTTAGTTTTGGTTCCCTGGTGTCCTGTGTCATTTCATATCAATTTCAGGATGACGTTTGCTAATTTTGTGGAAAGTGTCATTGAGACGTGGATAGTGACTGCTTTGAAAGTTTATGTGAACTTTGGGTATTCGTGACAGCTTATACTGTTAGCATTCCAATATAAGGACATTGCATGTGTAGTTCATTTATTGAGTTCTTTAATGACACCCAGCACTACTGTATACTTCATTTTAATTGGTTTTAGAGGAAGAGAGCCATGGTGCAAGAGCGGGCATGGGGAGAGGGGGTGAGAGAGAGACAGAGAGAGAGAGAGAGATACATTTACTTCCCCATTTAGTTATGCATTCATTGGTTACTTTTTAATGTGCTCTGAGTACAGATCAAAACTGCAATGTTTTGGTATGAGGACCACACTCTAAACAACTGAGCTACTGGGGTAAGGGAAGAATATCCTTTTCTTTTCTGTGGTTTAGGCACCCTAGGTGAAGATCTTTTTTTTTTTTTTTAAATATATTTTATTGATTTTTTACAGAGAGGAAGGGAGAGAGATAGAGAGCTAGAAACATCGACGAGAGAGAAACATCAACCAGCTGCCTCCTGCACACTCCCCACTGAGGATGTGCCCGCAACCAAGGTACATGCCCTTGACCAGAATTGAACCTGGGGCCCTCAGTCTGCAGGCCGACGCTCTATCCACTGAGCTGAACTGGTCTCAGCTCTTTTATTCTAAAAAAATACATTTTTTAACATTATTTTTGAGAAGAAGGAGATGGGGGGAGAGATAGACACATCATGATGAGAGAGAATCATTGATTGGCCACCTCCTGCACACCCCACACTGAGGAATAAGCTGAAACACAGGCATGAGCCCTGACCGGGAATCAACCTGTGACCTCCTGGTTCATAGATAGACGCTTAACTAATAAGCCACTCAATTCTGACGATTCCTTTTATTTTCTAAAGTTACACAGGAGAAATCAAAGTGATATATGATTCTTTATTACAACACCACAAATTTTTATAGCTCTGTATATTTTTCCCCACACAAGGCATCTTTATGTGTTCATATGTTAGTGTTGTGTAGAATTTTTAAATTACCACAGACAGATTTGTTATAGGGCAGGTCTAATAATGAGAAGGTCTAATTATGAGAAAGTTTTGAAACTGGAGCAGTTGTTTCCTTCCCATTGTTTTTCATCTGTTCTGTCAATATTCTTGTTGGATGGTTTTTGTTCATCTATCAGTTCCATGTTTTATCTCATGGCCTTTCCCCCCCCCAGTAGTTTTCTGCTTAGAACCCCCCTAATGATCTTAGAGGAGCTGTCTTTTCCATGAGGAATTATTTTTTTATATGTTTTTAGGTAGTATTCTGGTACTCGTGATATTTTCATTGTTTTTATCTGTGCTCATGTTATATTTATTCCACTTAGAATTCAGTGAGCTGCTTGTATTTGTGTCTCTTTCTCCAATTTTCGGGATCTTAAATGATTAATTTTTTATATGAGCTACCTATTCCTTTTCACTATTCTCTCTCTATGGGGTTGCCTTCGTGGTTGATTTGTTATTGTCTTATGAGTTCCTTCAATTCTCTTCACATTTCCAGATATTTGTTGGCTTCTCTTGATAAAAATGTTAATGAATTAAAATTTTAATGATTTATATACAAATTCTTTGATTATTTACTATTTTTTTAATAACGTATCTTTATTGATATCAGAGAGGAAAGGAGAGGGAGAGAGTAATAGAAATATTAGTGAAGAGAGAGAATCTTTGATCGCCTGCCTCCTGTACATGGGGGAATCGATCCTTCAATCCAGGCCTGTGCTCTTATGTGGGACCGAACTGTGACCTCCTTGTTCATAGGTAGAAGCTCTACCACTGAGCCACCACTCTCAGGCAAATTCTTTGATGTTTTGCGTTGATCACATCTTTCATTCATGATTCTACCCTATTTTTAATTCATGTTTTATGTAGTTCAATTTCCTCTTTTGATGTGATGTTTGTAAAATACTTTCTCATTGTATTTTTATTTTGATTATATAATATTTTCGTGATATTATATCGTCTTTTTTTTCGCTTCTTTACAACATTAAGATACTTATTTTCCATTTTTTTGAGATAATTAATGTATTTTCATTAATGTAATTCAAGTTTTTATATATTTATTTTGTTTTCCTGATGGTACACTTTTTCTGTTTTTGATTTTTTTCAAGACTTGATATCTTTTGTTCAGATTCTTGAATTGTAAAGTAGCAGGCTTTCTATGGAAGAAACAAATAATAACTTCTGGAAGAAATTCTCCTTTCGGTCTACACTGTTTTCAGGATATGTGTTCTTGGTTCGGTTATCTGTTTAATTTCCCAGTTGGAAATGTTCTGTTTCCTTCTCAGACACACGGTGTCTTTTCAGGCTTCATGTACATGTTCAGTACCGCAGTCTTTATGGTGCTCGAACAATTTCTCATTTGCAACATCCAATACAGGGCACTCACCGTGCACTGCCATTCTGTTCACACTCTATGTCATACACAACAGGCACTTGTTCAAGAGGCTTCAAAAGAGGGAGATCATTGAACATGGACTTCCCTCATACCTCTCTCTCTCCAGGGAAGAAACTGGTAATTAAGAGTGTTTCAATAATATTGCCGTTGTGTGCCAGGGGGTTTGAGCAGCTATCATTTGCAAATGTAGGCAGCTCTTTGTCCCTCTTTGATGTGAGTTTTCCTCATTGTACCTATCTTGAGCTTTCTTCAGTGGGTCTTGGAGTACTCAAAACTGTCATTTGGCCTATAGTTCCTGGTAACTTCAAAGTGCACTTTCCACCTGATTGTCAAACTTGAAAATTTGTTTTCTTTCAGGTATGTCATCAGAAGATGATCAGGCCTTTATTCCAAAGCCTGGAATAGAAGATTTATTCTCTGAAATAATACTGGTAAGATATAAAAGGTGTCGCTTTGATAATGTAAACTTAATGAAAGCCTTGGAAGAGTGTGATGAGAATAAAGGGAATTAATATAAACAGAACTAATCTTTAATAGTTATCATTAAAAAATTGTTGTTACGTATACAGGTCAAGTGTATTATGCTTTTGCAAAACCTCCCATATTAAAGTCAGTTCCATTGGCAGATCAGTGTGTTTCTGCAGGTGAAAGTCGAAAACAACTTTTTACTGTTATGCATTCTTGGAAAGGAAATCTGAAAAAACTAGGAATTATAGTCTGTATTATAAATAATCCTTTGAATTGCTTAAAATACAGGGTGGGATTATACTTGCATGCAATCATGTCTAAAATGTAGATATTTATAATGTACCTATAAAATTTAAATGTCCTCAACTTGGAAATCTTATTAATTTATATATATATATGTATGCATGTATATATATATATATATATATATATATATATATACACACACACACACACACACACACATATGTGTATATATATATATATATATTTTTCACACAGAGGAG